CTAACAAGCTCTCTTACAAAAACAAAGCTGGCACTGCCCAGTAGTTGTTAGGTTTTAAAACTGAACAACTTATCAAGAACAGTAGATGAAGACTGATGGAGAACAATACAGCTACTCCTACTGGCTCCATTCCTATTTTTTCATCTCCACATCAACTTCACATCATCATCTGATTTTTTTCCTTCAACTGATCATTTTAAGTATACCTTAGACGTGTTATTTAGAAAGACAACTATATGAAACAACACAACACTATCATCTGATCCTGCAGTTCAGCTTTGCTGTAGGATCCACTAGAGTTGATCTAGAACGCTGGGCAGGAGCATGACCTAAACAGCCTAATAGCTTTGACAAATAAACATTTTTCCTTTGGCAGAATGTTGCCTCAAATGGTATGCAAGATTTATACCAACCTAACTGGAAAGCTACTAATCCTAATGAAGTGCAAATGAAAGAACTGTTTCATGAAGCACAGTGTGACAGCATCAGTTGACACTGCACTGCAGTCTGTATATATTAGTTTAGCAGAACTTTTTGGAGTAATCAGTTTGATTAAGTAATTAAGTAATTGCTTACAAGAATTTGCATCTTAGTTATTTTTCTGCAACTTGCATAACACAGATTTTTAGCTGGAAGTCAAGAGCTGAACTGCATCATATATAATAAAAGAACACCTTTTACTAAAGGTGTATCTTGCAGTTTGACTAAATGAAGAGAGACAATATGTGCATATTCACCTACATATGGTAGGTAGGTGGAGCTGGAAAAATTTAGTTGACAGTGGGTATGTAACGGAATGACTACATTTCAGTTCATATGTACTTCATATCACAGCTGCTGGTAAGGGCAACAAGGATCAAATATATTTATCTGTAGAAATCAGAGATAAGTTAGGTATTTCGAGTAGTTAGGAAGTAAAAGCACCATGCATTAGCAAAATTGTACATTTGCTTATATCTTTCATTAAAAAAAATTTACAAAGTTAAATTATGCACAGATCCTGGCAAAGCAAGAAGCATCAACACCAGAATCTCCTTATTTCACATAAAATTAATACAAACGTATGCATGTTTGCATGCACAAAACAAGAACTCAATAGTTTCTTGTGAGGTTAAAAAAAGACTTCTTCCATAAACCGATTTACATAAAATTTATCCATTCCATTTTTCACTTCATTGCAACTCCTTTAACTATTTGGTAAGTTAGCTGTTACCTTGGTGTGGAAACTATTAAAAACCCTCCCCCTTAAGTTTCAGAGAGCAAGCATTTGAGGCCATTTCAAAAGGGCAAAGCTTGGCACAGACCAGAGCCTACACTCCTACTCCAAAAGGACTGCAGAGCAAAGGAATCAATTAAAGTTCACACACAATCTCTGAGTTGCCCACCATCACAGCATAAACAGGGTTCAAACTGTAGCCCTCAGCAAAAGCCACACAAATAGTTGCACCAGAAGAAAAAAACAAACAACCAAGTCTCCCTTATGTTCCCTGCTCCCTATTCCAACGCAACCTTAAAAACAAAAGTTGGAAAATGGGTACCACAACTATGAAACTGAATTAAGATTCTGTTTTCCTGAAGACATTACCACATACAACTGAAATTTAATTCATTAAGAAAACAATGAACTGTCCAAGTTCCTCAGCAAATTTGTATAATACAAAGCTGATCATGTCAGGATCCATCTGACAGCATAATAAAAAATGGGGACAAATTTGAATTGCAAACTATTTTTCAAAAGTATGTAATTAAGACTTCCTTTGACTTTGCTAACAAGGATGCTAAAATGTTAATTCTTAACTAATTGTTTATGCTAAGGTCTGTTTCACATTTTCTCTTCCTTATGCATAACCAATGCCTAAGTTATCAAGATATTGTGAAATATCTAACAGGGGTTTTTTCCCCAGTTATTAGTCCTTACGGGAAGAAAAAGGGGGAAAACAAAACAAAAACCACACAATAACAAACAAAAAGCCCAACAACAAACCCCCACATGCATAAATATTAACAGTTCTCCCAGTACTACAAATCTGAAAGTTCCTGCCCTCTGTTACCTAGTAATTATTTGCTTCTAAAAATCTTAGGTCTGCTTTAGAATACTTTTAAAATTAGAATCTCATAAAAAGTGAAAGCCTGAAATACCCATTATGAAAGGGCCAGAAGTGATACACACAGATAGAAATTAGGCGTGCATGTGTTTAGGGACAGGAGGTATGAAAATGAAACATGGCTCCACACTGTTGGTAACATAATTATGTCAACAGCAGCATAGCAAAAAGCTCTCAAAAATCTATCCATACAGGAAGTAGAACACAGGCAGTTTTAGCTTTGTCAGGCCCTTGTGTACAACGCCCTGTAACTGTGGAATGTGCTATTAAGTGTTTTCACTGAAGACTGGAAGGATCTAAAATATTTTATTGTTAAATGAGTGTAATTCATCCTGACCCAAAGACCATCACAGAAGTCAACAGAGACCTAAACTCCAAAACTCCAATTAAACCACGTTTTTCTACAAACATGTTTTATATATATATATATATATATATATATGTATGTATTTTTCAAATATATATACAAATATGGTCTATAAAGTTGGGCATAGAACAATCTTCCAAGCAACTTTGTAACAGCCTTTTATACTTCAGATTACATCTTTTTAAATACACATAACTTCAAACCCTTAACTCATGCAAAGTTGCTCTCAGAACAACAAAGATTTTGTAAATAAAAATCACTACTGAATTACAAGTTCATTGGACATTTAGGTCTATCAACTATATTAACTATATCATCAACGTAGTTAGAAAGTACAGGAAGAAATTTCTCTTTTACTCTATTTCACCATTCTAAAGAGACTTCATAAAATGCTGGAATCAAAAAAATTGCAGAAGACTTTCCAACCAAACTTTTCAAGTAGGTACAACAAATTAGAAAAAAAATAACTGAGAAGTGAGAGCCACTTCAGTTGCATTTCAATTGCAACAGTTAATCAGAAAAAGAAAGGCATCCTCAAAGCAGTAACACTATTTAAACAAATCTGCGTAGCGCAGACAGACTTCCAACAAAGTTCTCAATAAATTAGAACTCACTGGAGATAAACCAGCAATAGTAAACGACCTTTAGCTGACTTTCCTATAAAACAGTTCAGCAGAGAAAAAACTGGCTTCGCAACCTCCATGCAATAATCAGTAACTACACTGAGCCACTAACACCGATCTAAGTTACCAAACAGCATGTCAGAGACTCAACAAAAGGGATCTAGTCTTTCACTATGATGCAGCAAAGTCTCATTAGCCAAATTAAAGCAAAGTCCAAGACTGTTTTCAAGACAGCTTTGTTTCCTTGGCAACTGGCATGACTGACAGGCAGTATATTGGTAAAAGTCTTACTTTACAAGGCAACTTTATATTATTAGCTTGATTTAGCCAGCAATTTAGAAAAGCTAACTATACTTGCCTGAAACACAGCCTGAAGTAACTTAGTTAAAAGCCACATAAAACACCGGCAGAGTGAATCTCAGAAAACAGACTCCAATAAGCACTTCAGGAGGCCATGAAACAGCGACACAGCTTAGTCATGCCTAACAAAAACTTCTGTTCTCCAAGTAATACTCCAAGGTTTTTTTAACAAAAAATAGCTATGTGGTACCATTTTCATATCAAAGACAAATCTCCCCCACGTTGTAGATTCCTATTCAAATTCTTAACAAAAAATACAGTTTATCTGGTAAACTTCCCAATAGAGACTGACATTAAAATGAGGTTTAACAAGCTGTTTGGGAGAGTATGTCCATCAAGTACATGCCATCTACCTGTTAAAATTCCACTATAGTCTTCTCCCAAGAATTCGTTTCCCATTACGGTAACCCCCATGCTGTCAAATTCCCCCTATGGACAATTCTGTCTTTCTCTTGGGTAAACTGCATGGTACCCTGACCACATCCCAGGGGCACCTGCCAGAGAACTGATACTCATGGAAATCTCCTGTAAATTTCCTGCATTCAAGGAAGTGAAATTTTCTTTGGAATTCACATGAGAAACTGAGTCATGTAAATACTGGCTTTAATATAATCATTCACAGCTTGTTGGGGGCAAGAAGGAAGAAAAGAAAAAAAAAAAGGAAAAATAAAACCCACACTTTATAAAAGTGAACAATGTTTACTCAAAAACTGACAGTTCCACGGCTAATCAGTTTACTCTATAGGGATATGTGAATTGTACAAATAAATGCAAATATGTTGGAACGTATGAAAACACAAGGGCACAAATTAATAGGGAAACTGAGGAGCTATCAGTTTTGAAAGGTTAAACTAAATCTAATTACATCATCTGAATTTGTTCCCAGCTACGAAGATAAACACATGCAGTGGTCTGGCCACATTTAAAAAGAAGACAAACATCCCTAGTTTTGGCTGGCAGTTCTCTATTGCTGTTTACCTCATTTTTGGTTTTTTACTTTGGTTGGTTGCAGAGGGGAGGTGTCAAGAGCCTGAAAGAAGTTGCTTGTAACTCAGACTAGTTATAACAGTTAATTTTCTACCTCAACTGTGAACAAAACATCTTGGTCTCCTGGGCATCATCCCCTAAGTGCTTATGTCTGATTTGTGAAAATGTTTCTTTGAGAGCAAACTAAGAACTCTGCTTTAATTTTATATGTGATTCAATTTAGGTCCTGCAATTATATATTTCGGCATTATCAGTGCTAATAAGTTACTTTCTCTGAGAGACTAGTCTAAAAATTGATAAACTGAGTGAAAAATTCACTTTACTTGCTGCGTCAGCTTTTAAAACTTTGTAGCTGTTGTGCCACAACTGCAGGGGGAAACTGAGCAAACTGTAAATGGAAGCTTTATATTTAGAATTTTAAAGCTACTGCTTTTTTTTTTTCATTTCCAGAAAGAAAAGACAGTAAGAGATTAATCTTGTAAAAGTGAGTATGATTTTATCTACATATGCCACCGAATAGTTTAATTGCATTTATCCATTAGAAGTTGTTTTGCAAAAAACAAAATGGTGGGGTAGTACCTGGTCTTACTTTCACGGGAACTTTCAAATTAACATAGTTTTATTATTTTGCTGCTTTTTATTGAGTAAGAGTCTCCATTATGTGACTGACAGGTTACAGTTCACCCTATGCTACAAACCAGAGGACTACTAAGAAACCCACAGTTCTTTGCCATCTTCAGCACACAGAAGAAGAAAGGCAAAAGGGTAAGAGTCCAGAAGACGCTCATCTTGAAATATCAAATTCTTGTTTGTCTTTAGAAGAAAACAAAAGTGGTTCCAGAGCAGTGTAATTGCACCCACAGACCTTGATGCTAATACTTTAAACAAATATAACCTGACAAAATATTAAATATGCAGAATGGCAAAAACATCTCTTTATAAACATGAAATTGTGATCAAACTTGTATCAAAGACTCTTATTTACTGATGAGAGACTTCGAGATCTTTTGTCATAAAAGACAAGTTAATAGATCTTGATCACAGTTATTGCTTTCAACATAATACAAAGTTTTCAGACCACTGGTAAGATAAAATTAATCTCAAATTTGATTCAGGAGATAGGAAAGCATTGCTATAAAACAGAATGAAGCATTTACAGCACATAAACTAAAAATCAGACACTATAAAGCACAGAGAGTATTTTTATGAGAGATATGTGAAATACAAAATTTGTGGGAAGAAGAAAGGTACAGATCAACAGCTAATTAAAAAAAAAAAGTCCTCAGAGATAATTTAATTATTCCAACTAAGTGCCAGAGATTCTGTATTTTCCTCAGTTCTAATTTCTTCTGAAGATAATAAATGTCAATATGCTTATAAATAAGAGAAAAAAATACATTAGTGAAAGCCACAAGATAATTTTGGTTTACCTGAAATCACATTATTAAACTGCTTTTGGAATTAGCCTTATAAAATCACCTTGTACGGTAGGGTATTGAATGCATGGATATCATCATTTACAATTTTTCTTAAGCAAAACAAAACCAAATCCAAGCAGAGCACTGTATGCAATTGTTTTCACTGATGCCCACCAACTAAGCTGAAGCTGCAACTTCTCCGAATTCATACAGGGCTCAGTGTGTACTTTCATCCTCCTCTGAACTCAATCTCAAAGCTAACACAAATAAGGCAGGTTTGCCCTTTTTCTTCCTTGGCCCTTTTAAAAATGAAGAAATCTTTAGTACAACTGCAAATTCCAAATAGCTTGTGTTACTGTTCTTTCATAGAACTTTTCAAAGTAAGAGACAGAAGGAAAAATATATACTTGGTAGTGCTATGACTGTCTTCCAAGACAAAACTCCCCCCTTAAATTGTCAAAACTATACTAGAGCAAGCTTTACTTAAAAAGTGGTTTAATTAATATTTTTCTTAAGCTGAAACTGAAGCTGAAACATTTTTTTCATGGGTTTTTTTGGGTAGATCTTTTATCTTACATTAAACAGTCAAAGTAATACAAAAATGCAACTAACTTGACATATTACAAATAAAATTTAGCAAACAGACATCTTTAACTGCTTTTTAGTACAAAAAGCATGAAAAAGTGGAGAAATCCATCAAAAGCAGTGGTTGCAGTTTTGGTTTCCAACAACACTATTTTACTGACCAACTAGACTGAGCTATAAACACATTAACTGATGAATCTGAATATACATTTCCTCAGTAAATTAGGGTATTCAATAAAATAAGTAACTGTGGCTGCAGTTTTTCCAGTAAACATCTTCTGCCCTTGAAGACTAAGATTACTTTGGTGAGGTGGGGAGGAGGAAGGGAGCAGATGATATTGGTGTAGTGGGTGGCTCCAGTCAGGTGCAAAAACGGGATGAAAGAGAAATTTAACAACGGTGCTGGGTATTTTTCATGTGTGACATGAGGAAATTAGGAAAAAAAAAAAAAAGTAAAAGCACAGCAACAAACTTCCCAGTTGTCTTAAAACGATCTGCTTTCATAATGTTCAAAGCCATACCTCTGTACAGAGCACATAAGAAATGTGTAACAGAAATCTATTTCTAAGGTTTCTGCCAGATGGGTAAACACCTCAAACACACCCACAGATACTAATGAAAACCACCTTGGCCTCCTTCAGGAAGTCATTCAACACTTCATAGGAAAAAAAAATAGGAAGTTGTTGATAAACTGCTTGCAAGAACTACTTCCTGTAGGAAAAATAATTACAAGACTTGTTTGCTGAACAATCAGTTAACTTTTCCTCACACTACAACATGAGAAAAGGTATTACACAACCTTTGTAAGAATAAAAAGCATAACTCTAAGCTAAAACAGTACAAGAGTAACTCCAAAATTGATCAAAACTTATTTTCTCTTTCTGCAAGTTGTTGCCTGCTACTCCCATGATATACTATCTTTTGCCTAGAGAGCGATCCCCCAATCTTTCTCCATAGTTCACCAAAATGTCAAGCAGCAGCTGGCTAACAGGAAGCGGTTAAAAAGCAATGCAATTGACATCACCACACAAACCAAGCATGGCTTTAACACTGCATGTTTAAGAAAGGGCACAGCAATGCTGGGATGAGTCAGACCTGACCACTTACTAACCAGGCAAGTCTTAACTGATGAGTTCAATTTAAGGAGCAGTATCAGTAAAAAAATAGGATTAGTTTCACCAGCTGTATAGTAGTTGCCTTAACTCACTGCTCAAAATCATCACTAATGGAAAATTATACTCAGCAGAACTGCTCATAACAGTGAGATTAACATTAATGAGTGGAATTCTGGCAAATCATACGTTGGGCTTTCGTACATAAGGAGGTCTATTTATCTAGCTGACTGACTAATTTATAAGAGTAGCTCTGGTTCAGACCCTACACCACCACTCTCACCCTCTTTTAATATTTATGGATATGTGGGGTGTATACAATAAATACATGGCCAAATAACTCTGTGCATGTATCTGTATAATATATATATATATATACATACACACACAGGCAATTAAATATTTGCTCTCCCACATACACTACTTTCATTTCTTTGCACAAACTACTATGCTTGCAGTACTTGACCCATCGATTAGTGGAAGTGACTGTAACTCCAAAGTGTATTAAGTACAGTACTCAATTTTATTTTATTCTGTTTGCACCGTAGTATATTATGATAACTATAAACATAAGGCTTACTGACATCTGGAAAAAATACAACATTGTTACCTATTCTGCAAAGATTTTTCTAGAGCCTGGTTACCAGACTGTTCATGGAGCGGCTACAGAACAGAGCAAATGGAAACAAAAAGCAGTGCAGCCAACTCAAAAAAAAAAAAAAAAAAAAAAAAAAAAAAAAAAAAAAAAAAAAAGCGCTGAATACTTGGAAGAGACACCAAAAATCTGCATATGGTAGAAGGAACCACTCTAAATGTATTTAGAATCAGAAATCTTAGTATTCACATTTCAAACAAATGTTTAAGGTATAACTAAGGAAGATGTTAGTCTCTAACAGGCTTGTAGATGCGAGATAGAACTTATCACTCAACACTGAAGAAACCTTTTAATATACAAACTTGTTACTCAAAGCTAATTCTTACATTTCTTTGGACTTCCTACACATACAGAGCAAACATTTTGCTAATACTTGAAATGCTTTTTACAAATCTTCATGAACTCAAATTAACTCCGTGGATCTCACCTGTAGATAGTATTAAGCAACCTTTTAGGAACAACATGTGTTCTTCAAGTGTGAACAGAGCCTTCTGAACTGTCCTCATTAGACTCTCCCATACCACAGCATCACCCAAGGAATGCCAAAATAAAGCAGACCATTACGCTGTTTAAAATCTCCCAAGGTCAGCATGTGACCCAACAGGGAGAGGTTCAAAAAGTACAGCCTTTATTTTTCTTCCTAACAACATGGTTTGTTTCCACTCCTTTCCCCTTCAAGACACATCCTTCACAGCTAGCAGCTCTTTCAATCATTTACTTTGGATGTCTGCTTGAGAACAAACGATCTTGCTCATGCAGATGAGTTTGCCAGACTTGTGTGTACTTTCCACTCTCAGGCTCTTTATTGTTCTTGCTGAAACCTGACCCTTTGAAATGGATACCAGGACACCAAGAAAGGACAAAAAAACTTGCAGAAAAAAGGAAAAGATTTTTTGTGGTAACAATCAAACTGCAAAAAAAGCTTTTCAAGAACACATCTTTTACTCTGCTTTCACCTGAATGAGTATAATTAAAAAACTTTATTATAATAGCACGAAGACACTTTTTCATCTTCTAAACTGTTCCATTTTTCTGTAAATTTGACAATCAAAAGCAAACACTTGTGGCAGTAAAACTTAAAAACCAAATATCTATTTTTCGTGCTTCATAAGCTGCTCTTTAAGAGGTCTCACTAACACAGTCAAAACAAAGCTTGCTTTTCATTTCAAAACACAGTCTGTTCTTTCCTCAAGGTCCAATGAACTACAGTTCCCAAACAGCATAAACTTACACAGCTCAAAAAAAACTTCTACTTGTGCCTGCTGAAAAGTTCACATTCTAGAACACACTGATTTTTTACAAAATATCCCATCTTCAGGCTCTATAGATAATGCTTATTTCCATGCTCCTAATAGAGAATTATTATTTTCAAAAAACAACCTTCAGGCTCAAACATCAGACAACTACTGCAACCTCTTTTTGGTTTAAAAAAAAAAAAAGCTAATTTCTCTGTATGGAAACACCACTACTACAGGAACAAAACACATTTTTAAGAAGTTCTGCAAGTTCCACTTTCATTGCAGACAATGTAAATTTGTTTTTCAAGCTACAGACTCGACTACTTCAATCGGATGCACATATTAATGACAACGTCTAAGCAAGAAAGGTAGGGATAAAGATGTTTTCCTTGGCTGAAACAAGTTTTACATAAGTAACACAGTGTTGCCTCTCCTGACCCTGAAAATGACATACAGTGGGTTACTTAAGAGACTTGCAGTAAAATAAAAAGTTCAAAATACAGTCAAAATATTTGAGGGCCAATCACGGTCTTAGTGGGCACACTTTCTGAAAGAGAAGGACAAGCTCCTGCTGTTTTAGAAAACTGCACAGAATAAAAGAAAATGCTCCCTGATGGATTAGGTGTCAGATGGCTGGCATGTGTAGCCTCTCTTCAGTTATAGAAAAGGTGATACTAATTTCACTGTGTGAAAAAGCTACAGCTTTAGGAACATGAAACAATGTTACAAGTTCTGTAATTTCCCTTTCACTGCAGGGTATGTAGAGAAGTTACAGATCCAAAACACTGCACTCAATCACATATATTAATTTCCTCATGAACAGAGAGTAGGCAAAAACGTTTTGATTGTGTATTTACACAACTGTTCTAAATCAAGAGAGAAGAAGTCTTGACATATAGTCACTAGAATAGTTTCTAAAGTTACTCTATATTTTAACATCTGTACTATAAAAATGAGGTAAAATATATCTTGACCTTCATGACAACTCTGACAAGATTCAGCAAATCCAAAAGTCATATTGTTTAAAAATCACTATGTGCGCTTCACTGATTTTTAGTAGACAATATAACCGATAACATTCTTCAGCTAAGATTAAGGTAGGATGAATATTCACAGAGCATCATACAGTTCTAGAAACAGCAGAGAGCTGATACGGGAGAAGTACAGAAGTGGCAAGCTATCCTAATTAAAATTAGGAGTATGTTTTTATTTTATTATTTATTTTTTATTTTTATTTTAAATACGTATTTTATACACAATGAAATTTACTAAAATTCAAAGACTGTAAAAAAAGTATAAAATATATCCCCACAAGCACCAGAGACACAGCTAACTGAAAAGAAATTTTACTTACTTAAGAAAGTATCTCTGTCCAGATGGTGTCTTAGCCATCTCCCAGCCTGGTGGCAGAGGTACATCATCAGGGATCTCAAAGGAAGACTGGCGGAGATGTTGAGAAGATGGAGCTCCAGGTCCAGTCACTACTCCAGAGGGTGTAAGCGTCCCTGGAGAAACAGCTCCCAGCTGCAGTGATGCTGGAGAGGAATGAGCTCGGACATGCTGTGGGGTCAGGGCTCCTGCTGTCCCTGCATCAGTGCTGGCCTGCCAGGAGTGAAATTATTCCCATTAAGATTCTTATATTTCAGCAGAAATGCAGCTGTCAAACGACGTTTCACTTTAAATGAACCTTTCAGGAGAAATTCTTAAGTCAGTCATTCTAAATTCTGCTTATTTTTCAACTGATGCTGTTCATGAGAGCCTCCAAGTAATTTGGTTAATTAGCATCACAAAAGCCCTAGTGTAAGTGAAGACACATTAACACTAAGTATGTGCTAAGCGCCCTTAGTTTAACTTTGAAAACTACAGTTCTTAATCCGTGGTGAAGGTTTAAAAAAAAAAAATTCCCCCAGTCAGCAGACCTCGTACAGTACTGAGTGGTTCATTACTGGACTGTACCCACTCACTGCCATCACACCCACTTTCTGCTGGAGGAGGTAATTTCCCACTCTCCTTTTGAAATAGGGGTGTGGGGGTTCAAGTACACCCACACACACACCCTCTGTAGGGGTTTAAAAGATTACACAAAGAGAAAAGCAACAGAGAAATGCCAACTGGCAGCAGTGAGTTCCAAAGGAGGAAGACTCACGAATTCAAACATAAAGAAAACATATGTGAAAAGACTGAACACAGAATTTCTCAGCAAACCACACTTTCGAGAGTTTAAAGAGTCTGTCCATCTTTATCCAAAGCAAAGCTTCAGGAAATGGTTGAACCAGTCAATCAGAAACGAATCACAAAACCATTCACTGGAGCCATCAGTTACAAGTACAAAGAATGTCCTTGGCAGTAGTAAATACAGATCCACCATGGAACAGAAAAGGCAGCTCAGAAGACTTGATTGAAGTAAAAATGGCTTTTTGAAATATATTTGCCAATTAACCGGTTTTAAAGATATAGCAGAACGTGGATACCCATAATGAGATGCAAGTATCAGCCCTTGTCACACCTCTCTACACAAGGTATTGCACCATATGTGAGGCCCCACTTACACACTCTTAAAGAGACTGACAATTCTGCTTCACTCCATCTGTATGCAAACACAGGTGAAGTTCCACGTATTCAATTGGAAACGAATTGGCTTGCATTTACATTTAAACAAAACAGGCAAGTAGCAAATCAACCGAATTTGTGGCATTTTGATTCCTGAGAATCAGGGGAAACTGCAGAAAACCAAAGACTTTTTCTTTAAACGGAATGTTTTTGTGGTAGAACTGAACAAAAAGCAAAGTTATAATAGTCTTATTTTAAAAGTTCACAGTGAAGCAAATGATTCTCTGGCTTTATCTGGATTTCAGGTTTATATTTTAACAACCACCGAGTGGTACAAGGAACAGCGATCCAACTAAATATGCATTACAGATGAAGAGTAACATATACAAGGAAGATAAGGCTAAGCTTAAAAGTACAAGCTGTAGGAACATCACAGACGTTAAGTGCATTTCAAACACGATAGCTATTTAACTGTAGTTACTGTATTTAACAAGACACAGCACCAAGTGTTAGGTGAATGTCTATCTATTCAGATGTGTACACAATGGAACCTGCGATAAGATTTGCACAAGTTGGAAAAAGACTATACATAAAAACCTTATTCCTTGCTGGAATCTGGTATGTTATTAAAGGTCTGCAACTCAGAAGCTAGCAAAATTACAGAAGCAACTCAGCTCCAGTCCTTTCAATTTTCTTTTCAGTCTTGCTATATGAAAGCCAGACTGATTTTTCGAGTATTTGGAAAATGAATTAACTCCCAGGCTGCGAGAGTACGTGCCAAGGTTCAGCCTGGAATGAACTTCAGAAGTCAAGTTATAAATCCTTCAAAACAAAAGTTTAATAATGGAAATGTTGACAGACCCTTAACAGTAAGGGTACTAAGCACTAGTCCACACACTGAGTTTCACTTTTATTGGCTACACAGATAAAGTGACAATAGCCAAAAATAAAACCTATTTTATAGCATAGCAACAAAGTTCATTACTTAATAACACTCGAGTAGGTAGGCACAGCCTCCTGCCAAAAAGTTGGTAACAGCGGCCTAAACACTAACTTTCAGCCGTATTTGCACCAGCACTTATATCTTGGCACAAAAGTCCCTCCACTTGAAGGCGAAACGCTCCCGGAAGCCGAGCGACGACCCTGCTTCGCATCCCCACCCCGCTCCTCCTCGGCCCTGCCCCTGCATCGCCCCTTCCCCCAGGCCTTGCCCCGCCTCCCCCTTCCCGGCCCTGCCCCGCATCCCTCCCCCGCTCCGTCGTCGGCCCTGCCCCGCATCCCTCCCTCCCCCGGGCCAGCAGGGCTGAAGCCCCACAGCTCCGAGTCCATCGACTTCCAGGATGCGAGAGGTGCGCCCGGCCGGACCCTCGACGCCGTCAGACCTGATGTCTGGCTCAGTTTGGAATTAACTTCGGATGTGCGTGCGTCTATACGTGGGAGGGTTAATCGTACTCTACCCAGCGAAGTGCCGAAATGGTGGAAAAGCTACATCCATATTGTCTGACGGGGCGGGGGGGGAGTAGGTTTGGCACCGCCTCATCAGCCCCTCCACAGAAGGCAGGGAATTGGACCGCAGAGAGAAATTCTCCCCGTCTTCCAAGCAAAGCGTTTTCACCCAAGTTTTAGGGGCTCACCCCCACCGCCGCGGTCCCGGCAAAGCCGAGACAGCCAAGGAGCGGATGTGGAGTCCGAGGCCACGCCGGACACCGGGACGAGGCCAGCGCCCGCCCGCCCGCCCGCCCGCCCGCCGCGGTCCCGGTCCGGATTCCCGTCCGCGTCCAAGCGCGAGAGGCGCGACAGGGGCCGCGCGGCGCCCCCGTTCCTGGGGAAGAACAAATGAAGGGATGCGGGGATAGACTCCCCCAGCGGGCGGCACAGAGCGCCCTGGCAGCCCCGGTCGGGCGCCCCCCGCCCCGCTCGGCCCCGCGGATTCCCGCCCCGGCCCCATCCCCCACACGCCTCCCCCGGGAAGAGGTCGGTGGCGGCGGGGAAAGGGAGCTCGGCCGAGCCGAGCCGGGCCGGGCCGCCCCCCGCTCGCCCGCCCGCGGCGCGGCCCCTCCTCCGCTCCCCCTCACCTGGCGGGAGTGGGCCTTGGGTTCGGGCGGCTTGAAGAAGGAGTCGGGCAGTTTCCGCAGCCGCATGGGCAGCGTGTGCGGCACGTTGGCGCCCTTGGGGTTCATCACGGCGTTGAAGAGCGCCTCCAAGTCGGTCTCCGAGTCGCCCCGCACATGGACGATCTGGTGCCCCGCCGGAGGGGGCCCCCCGCCCGGGGGCTGCGCCGCGCCGGCCGCGGCCCCCGACACCGCGCCCGGGGGCTGCGGCGGCTGCTGCTGCTGCTGCGGGGCCGGGGGCTGCGCTGCCTGCGACGGCTGCTGCGCTTGAGGCTGCCCGGGATCCATGGCTCCGTCAGGACCCCCCGGCGTTTCCCTGGCGGGGCTCGACGGCTCAGAGCCCGGATTCCCAGCCCCGCATGCCCCGCTCCCCGGGCCGCGGCTCGTCCTTCTGTCGCCGGTACTTTCTCACCCTTCGGTCGAGAAACCGACCCGGCCGCAGCAACTGGCAAAACAACTTTGACCGTGCGGCGCTTCCCCGAGCCCGGCCCAGCCCGGCCGGCGCCTCTGTCCCGGCGGCGGAAACTAACTCACACAACACACCAAACAAAAGTTCGCAGTTACGCCCGCCCGAATCACTCACTCTCCGCCGCCGGCCCCGCCCCTCCTGAGCCCGCCCGCACCGTATCCGACCGAGGCAGCTTGGTGCTTCGCCGCCCTCCTGCGCGCGCCCGCCCGCACCGCCTCCCGCACGGGGCGCTCCCGGCGCGGGGGCCGCTGCCCGCACCCCCGAACCCCGCGCCGGGACCGCACCGCGCCCGCCTCGGACCGCGCTCAGCCCGCTCCCCGCCGCCTCTCCTTGTGCGCCCGCCCGCACCTCTCCCGGCTGCCGCCCGCCCGCCCGCCCGCGGCCGACACGGAGCGGCGCCGCCAACCAGAACTTTTTTTTCTCCCTAACTTCTATCCCAACTTCCAGGAGGCCGCTCCGCGAGGGGGTGGGGAGGGGCGGTCCCCTCCCCCCCGGCCCGAAACGGGGCATCGGCCTGGGACCCCCCGCTCCGGTCGGCCCCCTCCCTTCGCTTTCTCCCGGTCCCGCAGAGCCTGCCCCGCAGTTACGCACCGTGGGTCTGTGAAACTGGCTCATGAAAGGGACGGGACCTCTAGGGAAACACTTTTTATTAGAAAAAACGGATGAGGGGAGGGGGGAACTGCCCAGAAAACAGCGTCAAGAACTAAAAATACAGGAAAACTTTTGTCACTAACCCCGTAGTAACATCTGAGTAAATGTGAAGCACTTCCGAGCCTGTAATCAAGGAGCACATCGTTCCTCGTCAGAAAAGTATGCACTTTCTGCCTGAATCCGTGCAGAGAGAAGGCCACCTCCATTGTAAAACTGGGATCTATAACTAGTTAGCAAATACGCCCCCACCGAAACAGTGATACAGAGTATTCACGTGTCGCTTGCAGGGATCCACAATCAAATAGGCAAAAGTCTGTTCGTGGCTTTTGCTTGAAGGGTAACATAGGCCATTAGCATCCTGCGAGGAAGTAAAAAAAGAAAAAAGAAAGCAGTATTAGGGACAATATGGATACCCATGAGAAAATTAATAAAATCTGAATGAAACTGATAGTTTGTTCCAATTGTAATAGTTTATTGCATAGCAAACCAGAACAAATACACCGTAGTTTATTGAAACAGCATTATGGTTCCATGAGAATCCCAACACTACAAAATGCACATTAGTTCTGGCTGAATGTTTCAAGTAACCTTGAGGTAAATGTGATATTAATACAAAATGTAAAAATAAACATGTAAGCATGTGTTTACACAGTTAGAGCCCAAAATACAAATGATTAAATTTACAACAGCCCCATCATGTTTCCTGTGAAAGAGAAAAAAATCACAGACTCTATATTAAAACATAAAGCTGTTCCATCATTAATTTTTTCTTTCATTTAACATTTGCTAATGCATCTGTTCAGGTTCAAATATTTGCATTTAAGCAAAACCCTCATTACAGCTCTTATTAACAATTTAGGACTGTTATTGAAAACATTTTGTGTGCCAGTCCTCAGAAAGGGCTTGAAGGGAGTCTAGGCACCTAGCTCTAAAATACTCATTCTGAAAAAACACTCTTGGCTGACAGTCAGCACGGGAACTGGGCTCCTCATCCTGTGTCTGCACATGTCAATAAAAGCCTCAGTGCTGACAGAGCAGCACAGTTTGACACATACTTCAAACCCAGTAGGGAACCAGAAGCTAGATGGGGGGATTTTTGAAGAGTTGATTTTTTTTTTTTTTATTCAGTCAGTGTGGTAATTGAACATCTGAAAGATCAATAAATTCATAGTGACACCTCTTTTAAAATGTAACAGTTCCCTCCTGCTTCCCAACACCTTTATGGAAGAGTTGAAGAGATGTAAGTTCTGTTCCACTTTTTTGCCTGCGGGAAATTGCTATATTGCATATATTGCCCATTTTCTCCAGGAAAATTTTAAACTTCCAGACTATTTCAGATTAGGGTCACATGTCTCACATTCTTTTGTTGAAGCTGTCTTCCTTTGCATAAAATAATCCATCTCAGTGGTTAAGGCAGTCGGGTTAGAAGGAAAAGTTTTGGGTCCCTGTTTCTGCTCCAAGGACCATTTGTGAATTTTATCCATTAGCTGTTACTGGCACCCCATTTTCTCCTTGTATTTCAAAGTGGATGAACCCCCTACTAAGTGCTCTGGTGTCTTCTTTTGGGGGATTATTCAAACTCCTGAACCTTAAGTTAAGCTAAGCACCACCATGAAAGCACTGTTTAAGACAGGTAGAGATTTGATAACATTTATTCACAGCATTTTCCAATGGTAGTCAAATGGCACAAGCTAAAAATAGCATTCTATTTTTAAGCCAACAGCATACAAACTCTGAAGCTCCAATTGTAAGATGCCTAGCTCTCTTCAGGTGTTGTTTAGAGATATATATGTAACAAACACTGGCCTCTCAACTGCAGTAAGGGAGAAAGTTGTAAGATTTTACACTGTTCATCACAATGCCTTTGGAGCTCGATCCAAAAATAATCTAAGCTCTTGCACAGAACTGAAGAAAAAAGAGTAAGGAAGATGTGATTGCTAGTTAAACTCTTTTCCCACTGCTACCAAGGATCCCTCCTTCAATCCTTATGGAATCGACCGATGCCAGTTGACGTTTTGGCTGTTTAAAGGCAGTGTTAGCCCACTAAAAATCTTTTCAACAAGAACAAAAACTAATTAAGTTCTGGTGATGAGGCGTTTCAAGAAACTGCAGAATATACCAAACTGGTATGAGGAAAATAATAAATATAACCTAATTAAATGAAAAGGGGTTTAAAATTTATTTTAATTAGTAAAAGAGGTCATAAAAACCCTAAAATACTTAAGCATAAAGACTCTGAAATTTACATTCATGCATGTTCACAAATTAAGAACCATACCAATTCCATCTGCAGTGTGGACTTTAGTTCAGACATCCAGGGGGTGTAATGATTGATTTACTGATGTACTGTATTTTTTTCTTTGTAGCAACACAGATAATCAGCTGATGATTTAAGAGTACATATGTACAGCATAATACAGAAATAAAAATACTGCTGAACATTCTCAAAACTGCATTTAAAAACAGCATTTAAAAAAATACTTCTTGAATAAATTCTGCATTATGCTGATTTCTAACACTGCTACAGTTTGGGTTCAGGTAAAAAAAGTTCAAAAATATCAGTGAGCATCCCAATACTTTAGCTGTAACAGTATTTCATTATTTGCAAAACCCCAAAGCTTTCAAGGGTATTTAGAGTTCAACAGAGTACTTTGTCACAAGATCTAAAATTATTCCTCTTGTGATGCCCAGGTCTGTCAGGTTTTGATGCTAAACATCCCAGCTGTTCATCACAGCTCTACAGACATTTATAACTACACCTTAATACCTTGAACTATTTACACCTCTAATAGTGTGCTTTTTTAGATATCGTTTCCAAAACAAGGGCTTCTTAGCCACATCTTAAAAACCAAAGAAAGAGGAAGGGACGGTGTCAGGATGGTGTTACGTAAAGTTCTTAATTCCTCATTCCATTTGCACTTGTGCAAATACACATGTATACTTATTTGTTCATTTTTTAATCCAGCTAGCAAAAATATGTGTTCTTCTAACTTATTATCTGCAGAAGTCAGTCTTACCAGAACAGCTTTTCAAAAGTGATTTATTTATTTATTTATATCAGTCTAAGAAGGTAAGTCCCCTTCTTCCAGATACAAAACAAGAAAACATGGCTTAAAACCTGTCAGCTCAGCATAAGGATTATAATAACACACTCTACAGTTACTTATCAAATGAACTCAAACTAAATCTACTGCAGAAATGTAGTTATCTCCTTGAGAGAAACTTTTCATCACAAGCACAAGACATTTGTACTCCAGTAAGTGTCCTTCTTGTAAGTGCCAAGTTGAATAGTTTTGATCCGCACAGCCATCAGTCTAGACATACTGTTTAAGCCTTTCTGTATTCCAAGAGAAAATTCTTCAGTATGTTCTTTAATACAAAGCATAATTTCAGAATTCTCCTTCACCTCAAATTTTCAGAATGCCCAGCGATGCCCAATTTTCCTCTAAGGCTATAAGGAGGATAGCCTGCTCTGCATTTACACTGGATTTTCTTCTGTCCATCCACATTTTTGTTAACAAAAAGTTACTTTTTTTTTTCCCCTAATGATATTTAATGCATGGCTAAGACAGTTAGGGGAGCTCTTTAATGTCATCCATCTACCTAAACATAGAAATCTGCGAAGTTCACATCAATGATTGATTCAGAGGTGGGTAAAAACCAGTAATAACAGAAGAACATTAAGTTATCAGGGATTTGGAGTTTTATTTTATTTTTATTACAGTATGCAACCTAGTAGAAAGATGAATTTTAATACACTCATAAAGTGTTTTGTTTGTTTTCAAAAGCCTTTATGAATCATACATAGTACTTAAAGCTGATGACCCACAGATGAACAACTGGGCTATTGGCAACCTACAGGGAAGTTTGTGCAGTCTGAAATGACATCAGCTACTGCTGTTGAAAGGGGGTACATTATCTGACATTTAATTATTACATATTCTGGTTACTCAAGAAGAATTTGGAGTAGTTAATTCTACTGTACCAAATGACAGATATGCTGAAACTGGTAAACATGCAGCCAGTTCTCAAACTTATCTTGATGGTAAATGTATGATTTTGCAAGGGAAACAAAAAGGAATGAGACTTGACAAGGAAGGGGAAAACAGGTTAGCAGTCATGTCCAGCCTTTTTGTATACTATACTTCCTTGCAGTCTTTACAGAAACAGAAGCAATGCAAGCCATTCAGAAAGCTCTAGCAACATTTCTGAAAACAGAACTATATGAAGTCAGGAGTGTATTCTTAATCCTTACTGCTATCTCAAGTTTTATTATTATCTAAACCCAGAATTACTCAGATTTTTTTTTTTCCCATAAACTAGTTTCTGGATGACTATTATGACTTCAAGTGTAATCCAGTAAGCCTATTTTTAGTGAGCTACCAAATAAAATTTTAGTTGGTGGTTACTGATGAAGAATTAGTAGAGAGGATGAGAAAGCAGGATGAG